AACTTAAGAACAAATCTGTGCGTACGAACGGTTCTTGCATGAGGCCCATTCCCTCTAAACTCACTACTCCTCTGGCTAATAAATGTGCTCTTGTTTCATAGAGCTTTAGTGTATCATATTTCGTTGATATAATATGATGTTTTGTTTTTTTAACCATATTTATGCATGTATAAAAATTTAGCCGCAAAATCATCCATCCGTCATATTACGAGTGTAATTTTTTGCAGATTTTTTTCCACCACAACAAATGGTTATGGTTAAACACATACAAAGACTGTAAATAAAATAAAGTTGGATTTACTTTGGGCTCAGGCCTCTAATAAGAGTTAATTGGTCAGGTTGGATCGGGCTCAGACACTATGTCTTCCATGTGATTCATTTTAGGCCTGATCTAAACTCTACTCTGGTGTGACAAAATGCAAACAACCACTGTATGTATTATGTAGGGGTATTAGCTACAATTATATTAGCCATCATGGTGTTAAATACATTTACTTTGTATTAATTATTAATCTATTTTGCCCTGATCAGTAGGTAGGGTCAGGCAACCCTACCACTCAATCAGGTCAAAATAGAATTCAGCAAAATGCAGATATATAATGTGTTTAAATATGACCTTTTTTATGCATTAAAAAGAGAAAAACAAACAAACAAACAGATTCAACTGTTACATTTGACTGTAAATATTTCTACTTTCACATTTTTACATAGAGAATGTGGTGACTGAAACTAACCCCAAGTGGCCATTTAGCAGTTTGTTTCTTTTCTGCTAGCTTCATTTAACAGGCTCTGAGGTTACAGTCTGGTATTGTGCTGAATAGTACATTGATTAGTCTTTTGTGTGGCTAGTGTTATAGTTAGGATTTATGACTCAATTTGTAGCTTTTAAAATGTTTTTTTCAACCTCCTACTCACAGTGACAGATGGGCAGGAAGAGCTGGTATTGTCTAATCAGACTATATTCACTGTACTTGCATCTTTCCAGTCACACATGAACATACGTACATACAGGACCCTGCAGCTGACAAATGTTAATGAATAAGTATTCACTGCCTGTGGTTACTGGTTAAACATAATCACTGTCTTCCTTGTTTTATGTTTTTAGCTATGAATTCACACAATACTAATTAAAGGATTAGCATTCTTTGACACARCTACAATAGATCCCCTGATGCGTTTTCATGCCAGGATTTAATCATCCTATGGTAAGAAGGGACCAAGTTGAATTCATTTTGGTCAATCTTGTAAATTACTTTATACACGATCTCACACGAGATCATGCAAGATGTGTTAGCTCTTGTAGTATATGATGAGGATGACTCAGTGCTACCAGCACACCAAATTTTAGGTSAAAGTCTATACAATGTCACTGTCATTTTCAACAAGTGTAACTGATGGCAAACATTTCTGGAAGTTGAAAAAGGACTGGGAATGTTGTCTTTTAAAGCTGTCCATTATCTTTATTCCAGAAAGTCATTAGAAGTCACTGCATCACCCTTTGGCATGAAAACTTACTCTGCACCTGCTGCTATGAATACACAGCAACACCTGCTCACGTCTGCCGTTTCAGCCCTGACAGCTCCTGGCTTTTATGGCTCCACCTGGTTCAAGCGCACCTTGACTGGGTCAAACAGGGCACAGCACGATCCCTGCTACCACCCCTTACTCATACTCTGATGCCCCCACCACACACACACACACACACACACACACACACACACACACACACACAC